AAGCTGCCCTTCCCTGGTTATGTGTCCTTACTGCAACTGCACATCAAGCATTGGAGAGACAAATAGCAGGCCAACTGATTCCTAGAAGGGCTGTACTGCAAGCTGGGCTCTGATTACAGGCAGTAGGACACAGGAAATAGGGGCTAGAGTTGCCAAAAGTCAGATGCTGATGGACTTCATGTTCTTGTAGTCTCGAGCATGGGCAAATTGTAAAGAACAGCTTGCGAGAGGCAAGCTCAGAGGAGTTTGCAATGTGGATGATCAGGCACTGGGCCAGCCTGCCAACGGTGCTTGCCAGCAGTGTAGACACACCCGCCAAGACCTGTTGATTTTGTAACTGGTGCCTGTTGGCTAGCTCCAGTGAAATGGAGGAGGACATTGCTTTTCTATAGATTGGCATGTTGTGGATACGACTGAAAAGTCAACTGTTTTCTGTGGCTTCTTACCCCCTTCCATGCTATTCTACTCCCTGCAAAAGCCACCATGACCAAGATTAAGACACCTAATGCTATCTCTTTGGAAAGAGAAGTTGTCTTGGCTCAATTGCTGAAAACCATAGAGGAAGGTTTTGCCTGGGTGCTCTGTCATGTGGGTCAGAAGCTGGACTTCAAGGGCTTGTATGAAGAAAACTAGGCCAAAACCTTATGAAACAAGTACAGGTGACCCTCGCCATTCATGGGGGATACATTCTCGTATCCCCTGTGAATGGCGAAATCCGCGAATAAGGCACTGCATTCATGAACGCAGTGCTCCCAGCGGCTGGGTGTCTGTCCAATCATAATGCTATTTAGGAAGTGGAATACTGGAGATGACAGACATTTACATAGGTAATATAGCCTTTCCTTTCCTGTATGGGAAGTCCTAGCAGTGATCTAAGTTATATGTATGCTACCATCCAAGCATGAAACAGAAAATGGGGAATAAGGGCTTCATTCTTGGAAGTAGTACAGAGGAGCAACTCTTTCCTTGTGACATTAAGGCACCACCTATGATGCTTTATAGGTGCACTTGACTGGCAGTGCCACTAGCTGCAGTAACAGCTGTAAAGGAAGTAACAGACAGGGGGAAAACCTGCATCATTTAATCACATTTTTATAACATGGTAGAAAGCACAGCTGAGCCCTGTCTATACAGGAAGCCCCGTCTTCCTCTTTTGCTACAGTTGGTGAATTACATTTAAGTTTGCTAATGCCTGAAATGGGGTGCAAATTACAGCTTTCTTTGTCTATACACGAGCTGTGCACCACAGGAACTGTTAGTGGCCACACAATGCTGAAATAACAGCAAAAGCGTACTTTAGACAACGCTTTATTTTAAACTGTTAAATGCATGGTGCTTCAGTAGGTAATAGACATTTTGGGAAAGCAAATTTTTAAAAGCATCAACATTCCCACCTCTAACTATGGCACATAAGCTCACAGGAGACACTGACAATTATGCCAGTGTAAAAAAACTACTTTAACTAGTTTTTAAAAAAATCAATACAATCTTAAATAACTGAAACCTAGCTTTCTCAATTTGGGTTATCACTGCAAACTTCCAGAAGCAGGTAAAACAGTTAACCAGATAGGAACTGATGTCCATTTCTTCTATATAGGGGTTACATCAGCACACAAGTATGGTGGCAAACCCTGAAGTTACCATCAAATTCTTCAAGAAACCAGGGAAGAACCACCCAGTTGGACACACACATTCCTTCTAAAGTCTTTTTCCATACAGGACAGTCCCAGTATAACCAAGGGTGTGAATTTAGCATCTTGGTATTGCTATTCCAGTCTGCCTGCACATTCAAGATGACATTTTGCTCCACCACACAGCAATTAAAGGCAGTATTTGCCCCAACTATAAGAATGTGAAATGTTATCGGGAAAAGCAGTGCCTGCAAGCGTTTAAGGGAAAAACTGCGCGAGGGTTGTAATTCTAAACCAGGCATCAACAAAGCATGTAAGCATCTCAACTCTGGCAGTGGTTTGCTAGGTGACCTCAAATGACTTAACCAGTAACAATTTAACCAGTAACTTGACCTTTTAGTGCTTGAAGCCGACTCCCTCTGGTAGAGAAGCATGGTTGAAAAATCCTGTAAGTCTACCCACATCTTAAGAGTCATAGAGAAATAGGGCTGGCAAGGACCTCCAGAGGTCAGCTAGTCCAAGCCTGTGCCTGAGATAGAATCACCCCTATCCAAACATCCCATACAACCATAATCTAAACTCTGCATAGGTCTATGTTATGTCAGGATTGAGGGTAGTCTTAACACCCTAACCTGCCACAAGTAAAAGCAGCGGAATGATGGCAACCAATGTCTTGCTTCTATAAAACGTTGTCAATATGCACTCAATAGGCCCTGGTTAGAGGGCGCACACCCCACCAGAGAGAGGTAAAAACCTACACAGTCCAAACCAATCTATGGGGTAAAATTCCTTCCTGGCCCCAAATATGGCGATCAGCCTGGCCCAGAAGGTAAGGGCAAGACTCTCTAGAGAGGAACCTCTGGCTTTGCTCCTAGCAGGAGAATCAGCACACCCCAGTTGAAGTCCCCAGCCTTAGCTGTAGCCAACACCCAATACCTCTGGGGAGACTTAAACATACCCACACAGCAGAAACACACAGCAGGAAAAAAAGAAGGGAGGGGGATGGGGCAGGAGCAGGATCTCTCTTCAATAATGACTCTGAGATCCCTTTCTGCCTCTGTGCTTTCAAGAGGGGAACTCCCCAGCCCGTATGTATGCTGTGGATTCCTTCTCCCAAGGTGCAGCACCCTGCATTTATCTACGTTGAACCCCATCCTATTCTCATCTGCCCACTTTTGTAGTCTGTCTAAATCTAGTTGCAGCCTCTCTCTCCCTTCAAGTGTGCCCACCTCACCCCACATCTTACTGTCAACAGCAAATTTGGTGCTTCCACCCCCTCGTCCAAGTCGCTGATGAAGATGTTAAACAGTGCAGGCCCGAGGACTGAGCCCTGCGGGACCGCACTGCTCACATCTCGCCAGGTTGAGTATGACCCATCCGCCACTACTCTCTGGGCACGCCCCATCGAGAGCAGATTTAAACTAGACATTAGGAAGAACTTCTTCACAGTTAGTGGCCAAGGTCTGGAATGGGCTCCCAAGGGAGGTGGTGCTCTCCCCTAGCCTGGGGGTCTTCAAGAGGAGGTTAGATAAGCATCTAGCTGGGGTCATCTGACCCCAGCCCTCTTTCCTGCCTATGCAGGGGGTTGGACTCGATGATCTATTGAGGTCCCTTCCAGCCCTAGCATCTATGAATCAGCCAGTTTTTTACCCATTCAATGTGTAGGCACCAATGCCACAGTCGCTTAATTTATTGATGAGGATGGAGAGAGAGTGTCAAAGGCCTTCTTAAAAGTCTAGAAAGACTACGTCCACAGTGACACCATCACCCAAGGATTTAGTTACCTGGTCATAAAAGGCAATCAGGTTGGTCAGGCAGGACCTGCCTTTGATGCATCCATGCTGGCTGCCCCTGACCATGATCTCCCCTGCTGGCCCCCCCACAGATGTGCTCCTTGATTTTCTCCAAGATCTTACCGAGGACCGAGGTGAGGCTTCCGGGCCCATAGTTACTTGGGTCCTCCTTCCTCCCTTGCTTAAAAATGGGGACCACATTAGCTAGTTTGCAATCCCCCAGCACCTGGCCAGATGACCACGAATGCTCAGGCCAAGGGCTCCGCAATGACCCCTGCCAGCTCCCTCAACACCCTTGGGTGGAGGGCATCTGGACCTGCAGATTTAAAAATGTCCAGCCCTTCCAGAAGATCCCTAACTACCTCTGCACTGACTCAAGGCCTGTCAGAGCTATCCCCGAGATTGTCCCTTCCTCTGGCAGGAGGGACGTCCCGGTCCCTGTTCAAGAAAACAGAGGCAAAGAAACTGTTAAAAATAATCGGCTCTCTCATCTAGCATAGCCACAAGGTTACCATTTGAGTCTTGCAGGGGCCCTACATTGCCTTACTGTCACTCAAGCTTAATATCATTCAAAGCAGCTGGGG